AGGTTTCTTTGATTTAGCAGAGTTATTTTTATTTGTGCACTCACGGTTTGTTTTGGTTGGGGGAGTTGAACAGATTATTTAATTAGTATTTTGCAACCAAGAAACCAATCTTAAGGCAGATTCCCGAGGCATCAAATCATTACATAAATACATTCACAATATATTATTTTCATGACCCACTCTNGGTTCTGGTGTGCTTTGTGATGGATTGTACAAATTACATCTTGATAATTTGTTTGCTGAGACATTATTGACCCTGCATCATAGTATAGGAACAAAACGTGCTTCTGTGGATAAGAAATCTGCTTATTTATGGCATAAGCGTTTAGGCCATATATCAAGAGAAAGGATGCAAAGATTAGTAAATGATGAAGTTTTATTTGATTTGGACTTTATTGATCTTGGCGTCTGTGTGGATTGTATCAAAGGAAAACAAACCATATCCACAGTTAAGAAAGCAGCTACAAGAAGCACATAACTCCTTGAATTAATACATACCAATATATGTGGTCCTTTTGATGTACCTTCTTTTAGTAGAGAAAGATATGTCATCACTTTTATAGATGATCTTTCACGTTATGGATATATCTATTTATTGCATGAAAAATCTCAATCTATTAATATCCTAGAGGTATTCATTAATGAAGCTGAGAGGCAATTAGATAGAAAGGTGAAAGTAGTACGATCAGATAGAGGTGGTGAATATTATGGTAAATACAATGAATCTGGACAATGTCTAGGTCCATTTGCTAAATTCTTGGAAAATGGAAAGTTAAGGCATATGTGCCCAATACACAATGCCGGGGACACCGCAACATAATGGTGTTGCAGAAAGGCATAACCGAACGTTAATAGATATGGTTAGGAATATGTTAAGTCATTCCTCATTACCCTCATCATTGTGGATATATGCATTAAAGACTGCTGTATATTTATTAAATAGGGTTCCTAGTAAGGCAGTTCCAAAGACTCCTTTTGAATTGTGGACAGGAAGGAAACCTAGTTTGAGGCACGTGCATGTTTGGGGTTGCCCAGCAGAAGTCAAGATTTATAATCCACATGAAAAGAAACTGGACTCAAGAACGACCAGTGGTTTTTTCATTGGTTATCCAGAAAAATCTAAAGGGTATCGTTTTTACTGTCCTAGCCATAGTACGAGAATAGTTGAGACTAGAAATGCAAGATTTATTGAGAATTGTGAAACCAGTGGGAGTGTTGAACCACGTAAAGTGGAAATTCAAGAAGTCAAGGTACAGGTCCCTGTGCCTATGACTTCTATAGAGGTTGTGGTTCCTATAGTTGTCAAACGTTCTGATAACAATCAGGAACAACAAATAATTAAGCAAACACTACCTGATAATTTAGTAATCGATGAACCTGTGGTTGGTGAGCCACATGAAGTAGTAAATAAACCACAAGAAATAGCATTAAGAAGATCTCAAAGACAAAGGAGATATACCATTTCTAGTGATTATATGGTTTATCTACAAGAGTCTGAAATTGACTTAGGAATGGAAGCAGATCAAGTTTCGTTTCCACAAGCCCTTAAAAGTGATAATTCTGTAAATTGGTTAGATGCCGTGAAAGAAGAGTTAAAATCAATGGAATACAATGAAGTTTGGGATCTTATAGTATTGCCTGAAGGTTGTAGAACAATCGGGTGTAAATGGGTCTTTAAGACCAAGCGTGACTTTAATGGCAATATTGAATGGTACAAGGCCAGACTTGTTGCCAAAGGTTTTACTCAGAAAGACGGTGTTGATTATAACGAGACTTTTTCGCCAGTCCTCAAAGGACTCATTTAGAATTATTATGGCAATGATAGCTCATTATGATCTAGAGCTTCATCAAATGGATGTGAAAACTGCCTTTTTGAATGGGGATTTAGAAGAAAAAGTGTATATGGAACAACCTGATAGTTTTCCAATTGAAGGGAAGGAACACATGGTGTGTAAATTAAAGAAATCTATATACGGATTAAAACAAGCTTCTAGACAGTGGTACCTCAAGTTCAATGATACCATTACTACTTTCGGATTTAAGGAAAACACTGTTGATTGGTGTATATATCTGAAGGTCAGTGGGAGCGCATTTGTAATTCTAGTCCTGTATGTTGATGACATTTTGCTTGCTACTAATAATCTTGGCATGATGTATGAAACCAAGAAGTTTCTCTCTAAGAACTTTGAGATGAAGGATATGGGCAAGGCATCCTATGTGATTGGAATTGAAATTATCCATGATAGATCACAAGGATTGTTGGGATTGTCTCAAAAAGCTTATATCAACAAAGTTCTGGAGAGATACAAAATGGATAAGTGCTCTGCCAGTCCAGTTCCAATTCAGAAAGGTGATAAGTTGAGCCTTAAGCAATGCCCACAGATTGAATTGGAATGTAAGCAAATGGAGCATATTCCTTATACATCAGTTGTTGGAAGTTTAATGTATGCTCAGACATGTACCAGACCTGACATTAGTTTGGCGGTTGGTTTGCTGGGTAGATATCAAAGTAATCCTGGAATGGATCATTGGCAAGCTGTAAAGAAAGTGTTAAGATATTTACAAGGGACGAAGGATCATATGCTTACCTATAAGAGATCCGATTATCTTGAGGTAGTTGGATATTCAAATTCAGATTTCGCTGGTTGTTTAGACACCAGGAAATCCACTTTTGGCTATGTATTTATGTTAGCTGGGGGAGCAGTTTCATGGAAAAGTGCAGAGCAGTCTGTCATTGCTGCTTCCACTATGGAGGCTAAGTTTGTGGCATGCTTTGAGGCCACAATTCAGGGATTATGGCTGCAGAATTTTATTTCAGGACTTGGGATTGTCGATAGTATTGCCAAGCCGCTGAAAATTTATTGTGATAATGCCGTAGCAGTCTTCTTTTCTAAAAACGACAAATATTCAAAAGGTGCTAAACATATGAAATCAAAATACTTTGCCGTTAAAGAAGAAGTTCAGAAACAAAGAGTGACTATTGAGCATATTAGCACCAATTTTATGATAGCGGATCCGCTGACTAAAGGGCTATCACCTAAGACCTTTAGTAAGCACGTTGAAAGGATGGGTATTATTGCCCGTCATGATTGATTTATAATGTATTGTATATGTTCCTTGACATTATGTTGTTTTTATGTACATAAAGCTCTTTATGTTTAGTCACTCTGAGCTCTTGATGTATTGTTTCTGATTGATATAAGTCATTCTGTTGTATGTTTCTTTATATTATGTTGTTTTGTATACATAAATGATAAAGATGACAAAATTTGTCCTCGATAAGGGCATTAATTGTTGGACCATTAAGAATTACTATAGATTGTTTTGAGTATAGAATTTGTAAAGTGATACATGAAAGGGAATATGTTGATTTAATAATATATGACCGCCATGATCCTTATAGGTTCCTACTCTATAATGTTTATATCTTGACCATTTAAGATATGACCTTTAATTATTTATTATTGTGTACACATTATGTTTAATTACTAAGCTGTAAAGTTTTATTTTTATGACACATGGACCAAGTGGGAGAATGTTAGAATTATTTATAATTCTTATAAAGTGGTCCATGTGAATTAAATATAATATAAGGTTTAGTAATTATTAATTTAATTGAAGGGCATATTGGTCTTTAACCTTTGATGGAAAGGTTGCATCAGTTAATAAAATAACTACAATATAAAAGGTGGGTCCTCTCTCTATTCCAATATACGCTAAAATTTTTCTCTTTCCATCAAAAAGAGTTTTTTGCAATTATAGAAAGGGAATAAAGGAAGAGAAACACTGCCTATTTTTGATTCAATCAAGATTCAATTTTTTAATCTTCAAACTATGGAACCACGTATGTATTTCTTTTATATTTATATATATGTAAATGTTCATCAAGTTTCAAGGTCCTATAACTTTATATTTGTGCAACTTAGGGCATAGAAACATGAATTGATTATTGATTCTTTGCTTATGATGAGTTTGCAATTAAGTTACATAACGATGTAGCAATGTTATAATTTTGTTGTTAATAATTTATATTACTAATTGCTGAAATTAATATATTTTTATAAATTGATTTATTATCTTTTATATTTATAATAAGAAATTAAAACAATTTATAATTGTTTTTGTTTGGTTTGTCCTCTTATTCCTTATTTTTCAAAGAGTTAAGGTTGTCAGCAATGGACCAATGAGTCAAAGGAAAAGCCCCTTATGTTGTTAGTCTATCTATGAAGCAGGATGGTTTCTTCTTCTTCATCCATCACTGTTTGAAGAAAAGAAGTATAATGTAGAGTTTGTTTTCCGAGCTTCTGAAAATTAATATATAAACAGTTAGTATTTATAAGGTAATTTAAGTTTATAAGTATTTAAAATTTAAATAAGTATGTGTTCGATTAAAATATTTATTAGTCACTAATAAATATTTAATGTGTTTAGTGAAATATGACTTATAAATATAATTAAAATGACTAAAACGGATATTATATTGTTTTATTAAATAATAAATAAGGTTATATAATAGAATTTTAAAATAAGGATAATTTGATAATATACTAAATGAAAATAATTTATAAACTGTGCCTGCGAGCTCAAAAAAAAAAAAAGTCAAAAATTATTTTTGATTTTTTTTTTTTTTTTGACTTATAAACCTAAATTATAATTACGAAAAAGTCATAAACAAATAATTCAGCTTCATTCGATTTTCGAGCTTATACAAACAGGGGGAGTTTATTAAAAAGACATTTGAAGTTTACATTTAATTAAAAGGCTATCAAGTTTTAAAATGTTAACTAAATAGCCATATTATTNACACATCAAGCCAAACCTCTCCCGTCTTGCTATGAACAATATTTCTTTGTGATGAGCATTACCTCTAAAACGTTTCCAATGTTGATGATAAAAGCACCTGGTAGGGGTTTAATAGGAACCCACATCTAATTTTTCCTAATTTGAAGGCCATCCATCTCATTGAGCTGGAGGAGGATGGTAAGGCCGCCACCATCGGAATGGGGACTGATGCCAATAGCAAGCTCTGGCTGTGGACATGGAGGATAGTAGTTCAATCTTATTCCCTGTCTCCCTTCTTCAAACAATTGTTTAATATAATCATCTTCAATTCTTAGAGCTTTTCCCATTTGGTTCACGATTATAATGGCAAGATCTTTTAGTTCTAGTGAGTAAGCATCCAATGTTTCTCTACATTTAAAAAAAAAAAAGATAAATAAAAGAAGTAGAGACTAGTCTTCAAAGATAAAAGGATTAGAACAGTTGAGTAGCTAATATATATTATATTCCATTGTACAAACCTAAAAGTGCTATTTGTAAGAGTGGAAATGTTTTGCAGTTGATAAACCATGGAGTGAGCAGTTCACTGGTGCAGAAAGTGAAGATAGAGACTCAGGAGTTTTTAAATCTGCCAATGGAGGAGAAGAAGAAGTATTGGCAAAAAGCAGGAGATATCGAGGGATTTGGACAGGCGTTTGTTGTGTCTGAGGAGCAGAAGCTGGACTGGGCAGACATGTTCTTTGTGACCAGCCTCCCTTTACATTTGAGGAAGCCACACCTAATTCCCACGCTCCCTCTCCCTTTCAGGTACTCTGTTTTCTGTCAAATTATTTCTTTGTCAAGATTCTCCAGCTATGCTCGTGATCATATAATATTATAGTGACGTTTCTGATATTGATGTTTGAATTAATTACAGTTTAAAAGCTATTTAGATCACAGTTTAATAATTTATATCTTATATGTAGTGAACATAATTTAAGTTAAATTATCTGGACGGATAACCATTAAAATTATATTGTATTAGTGCCATTGAAAACCATCGGCTAGGATATTATATTTAATTAAATATGATAACTAATACAATGTCATAATCATGATTAGATGGCAATTTAGTCATGAGTGAACAACTTTTTCCCACCCAAATAATGGTTCGATGACACTTTCCCCCCACAGACTTTAAAAATATCATTTTACTATTCAAATTTATATTCCGACAATGAATAGAGAGCAAACTCAGTCTAGGCTTTTAGGGCTTCCGAAAAAGGCAAGACTGATGAGTCTTTTGGTAGTGGAAGATTAGATTTTGGTGACTGGAATTAATCAGAATTTGACTTATGAAGAGCGACTGTATAAACCCTAATTGATTGATTGTCGACGATTGGCGGAGTTGACGAGAATAGGGTTTTAGAAGGGTTAGATGAGCTTTGGTAAGTGAAGATCGAGGAAAAGAATAGTAGTGATATGGGGTCACAAAGATGTCAAAATCGGAAATGGAATATAGATTTAAATAGTAAAATAATATTTTAAAAGCCTATGCGTGGTAAAGTGTCGTTAAGCCAATATTTGCATGGAAAAAAGTAGTTTCCTCTTCAATCATATATTCAACAGATAGCACTTTTTGTACAATGGAATATAATATACATTAGCTACTCAACTGTTCTAAGCCTTTTATCTTTGAAGACTAGTCTCTACTTCTTTGATTTATCTTTTTTTTAAATGTAGAGAAACATTGGATGCTTACTCACTAAAACTAAATGATCTTGCCATTATAATCCTGAATCAAATGGGAAAAGCTCTGAGAATTGAAGATGACTATATGAAACAATTGTTTGAAGAAGGGAGACAGGGAATAAGATTGAACTACTATCCTCCATGTCCACAGCCAGAGCTTGCTATTGGCATCAATCCCCATTCCGATGGCGGCGGCCTTACCATCCTCCTCCAGCTCAATGAGATGGATGGTCTTCAAATCAGGAAAAATGAGATGTGGGTTCCTGTTAAACCCCTACCAGGTGCTTTTATCATCAACATTGGAGACGTTTTAGAGGTAATTCTCGTCACAAAGAAATATTGTTCATAACAAGACGGGAGAGGTTTGGTTTGATGTGTAAGTTTAAAATAGATTTAATGACGTTAATCCCCCTTGGGTATGATATAATAATAAAATCATCCTGAGTTTTTTGAAACAACAGAAATTCCCTTACTGTTAATGGATTGTTACTAAACCGTTAAAATTTATACTGTTATTAGTTAATAAATATCCTCTTGACTGTTAAATCCTTCTGTCTGTTTATTTTAACACCTACATGCTAGCTTAACAGTAGGGAGATATCTGTTATTTTATAAACCTCGGGGGGATTTTATTATTATATTCTATCTCAATGCATAAATATATTAACTCTTTTAACATATTCACTGTTAGATCTTTATATGTAAAATATAATTATATGGGGCAATCCTTACTAGAGATTTTTCGTATATATACATAGAGACACGAAAGATGAAGAGCATAACTTAGATGTTGTTTAATTAGAGTTTCGGATTTTGCAGATTGTAACCAATGGAGCTTACCCTAGTATTGAGCATCGGGCCACTGTAAACTCTACGAAAGAAAGGCTCTCAATTGCCACATTGTACGGCCCAAATACAAACCGCGATATGGGTCCAGCGCCGAGCCTCATAACACCAGAGAATCCGGCATTGTTTAAGAGAATAAGTGTCGCAGACTACTACAATGGATACTTTTCCCGCGAACTGCAGGGAAAATCATACCTTGATGGCTTGAGGATTAAAAATGAGGACAAGAGTGGTTGAGTGACCAATGTGGAAAACCTAATGTTTAGTTTATTTATAGAAGCTGGTGAATAAATGATCGGTTATCTGTTTGATGCTACATCATCTCATTGTAGCTGAGTGTGTAATTCAAGCTGGTTTGTTATGGACAGACCCATTTGAGATTTAAACAAAGTTTCACACAAGATGATTTCATATCTCTAATTTTCAGTAAATGTCATTATAATCCATAAATCTCATTGGCACTTTATGTTGAAACAGAGCATAATCCTTGTAGCAGCCATCGGCTGCATTACTATTGTCTCAAAACCTGACATGAAGAAATTAGAAAAGTATATGAAGCAACATCAACTCAAGAGGTCAAGTTAAAAGTAACTATGCAAAAATATCAGTGTGGATGAACTACTATACTCCATGTCCACAACCAGAAATTGGCTTCAATCCTCATTCTGATGCTCATTATGATCTAGAGCTTCATCAAATGGATGTGAAAACTACCTTTCTGAATGGGGATTTAGAAGAAGAAGTGTACATGGAACAACCTGATGGTTTTCCAATTGAAGGGAAGGAACACATGGTGTGTAAATTAAAGAAATCTATATACGGATTAAAACAAGCTTCTAGACAGTGGTACCTCAAGTTCAATGATACCATTACTACTTTCGGATTTAAGGAAAACACTGTTGATCGGTGTATATATCTGAAGGTCAGTGGGAGCGCATTTATAATTCTAATCCTGTATGTTGATGACATTTTGCTTGCTACTAACGATCTTGGCATGATGTATGAAACCAAGAAGTTTCTCTCTAAGAACTTTGAGATGAAGGATATAGGCGAGGCATCCTATGTGATTGGAATTGAAATTATCCGTGATAGATCACAAGGATTGTTGGGATTGTCTCAAAAAGCTTATATGAACAAAGTTCTGGAGCGATACAGAATGGATAAGTGCTCTACGAGTCCAGTTCCAATTCAGAAAGGTGATAAGTTGAGCCTTAAGCAATGCCCACAGATTGAATTGGAACGTAAGCAAATGGAGCATATTCCTTATACATCAGTTGTCAAAAGTTTAATGTATGCTCAAACATATACCAGACCAGACAGGTCAGTTTGCTAGGTAGATATCAAAGTAATCCTGGAATGGATCATTAGNAAAAACGTTACCTTTCTGGGAAAAACCATGGCCAGTAGGGCCGTGAGGGGGAGCAGCAGCAGTTGCAGAGCACAGGCACATCTTAATAAACCCTAAAAATGAAAAGACGAAATGAGAAGAGGGAGGGAGAGAGAAAGAAACAAATGGGGTTTAGTTTAATTATAAAGAGAGAGAGAGTAAAGTGAGGTTGTGGGTAGTAGCAGAACTGCAGAGAGACAGAGGATGAAAAGAGTTGAGTGGACAAACAAATCTCTTCTTATAGATCGCACGAAACCCAACGTACAAATACAGAAAGAGAGAGAGAGAGTGTGTAATGTGGTGGGGCTGGTTTGCGTATCCGAGGTCTTTTGTTGTCGTTCACTTCTATCGTTCTTTGAAAAACCAAACCCCGCGCTATGTTTCTTGTCTTTGCATTTTACCCCCCTTTCTTCATCCAATTGTCACACCATTTTCTCTCGTATTAAACCTTTGAAACTACTGTGTTTAACTTCATATCACTCATTCTATACAAACTATAGCAAATTGGGGCTCTTTCATGGAACCAAGTAAAGTAACAAAGCTGAACTCTTTATTTCATTCTAACAAAAAAACAATATTCCTTCAAATGAATAAAGATTAAAGCAAAAAAAGTTGTGAACTTCTTTTATTTCTTCTTCATTTCACATTATCTTATATTCTCAGTTTCTCACTACAATTTTACAAGCTTCCCAAATCCCCTGCCATTAATCACCACATTAAGTTACATCACGTCGGCTAAACCTTTTTAAAAGCATTTTATTAATTCATTAATTAATATGTAATTATGCATTAGCAGAACCTTACAAATACAGGTGAAGAACAGAAAATGGTTAATGGGCTTGCTTTAAAAGCCCAAAAGAAACATACAGTGGGTGTTCCTGAAATGCCTATGGCCTGCATTTATAGTGGCCCATAAGATTATGTGACCCTTTGTCAAATTAGTGGCCCTTTAATTGATTGAATATTTGGGCAAAGATACCCAATCTTTGCTGGCTGATACGGAAAATGCGAAATTAATTTGTGTTTAGGGGAACAAAAATTAATCCAATGGAGGCAGTTTGGCAAGTTAAAATGCTAAATTTGGAAGTCGAATCCTCCGAGCCAACTGTTAACATGATTGAGTACACAAATTCCACCTCATTCTGCAATAATCGGAGCCCACCCCCTACTGATTGGATTAAAATCAAATGTGACGTAGCTTTTAAGAAGTACTCTCATGAAGGAGCGATGGGAATTGTGGAAAGGGACCACAAAGGTATGTTGTTAACGAGGCAAGCATCAAAAAATTTTGCTACAACCCCCCTTAAGGCGAAGCTATGTAACCAATTTATCATCAATTTAATAAATCAAAAGCGGAAACCCCAATAACATACCTCCAGCCATAGCAATCAATTTCTAAATACTGTACGTGACACTTGGGACTGGTTCTAGTCTATCCAGGACTTTATTTCATGTATCGATAGGGAATCACAGACTTTCTACTTTAGGTTGCACTTGGAATTGGTGCTAATCTATCTAAGACTTTATTCCATGTATGGATGAAGAATCACAGACTTTCTTATAGACTAGTGACATGTTTTCCCTTATATTTAATTTTAGTTTACGTAAAAATTTTACATAATCTGTATATCTTCTTATCCATCAAAGAAGAAGTTTATATAGGGAAGTTACCACTTATAATTGATAGAAAGTTAAGTAACTGATGTGGGAAGTCATTATTATTATTATTATTAACAATTAATAATAATAATGGGCTACAATAACTTACAAGCTATAGCTTTGGCTTCCAGTATGGGTTTGAGTAAGGTTTTACTAGAAATAGACTCTTTAGATCTTATTAAAGCTTGTAAGAAGGAAAAAAAATTTGGGAAATTGATGTAATTGTGAGAGATATTCACAACCTTGCCCATAGTTGTTCCTCGTTTGGGTTTTGATGGACCAGAAGGAAAACCAATGTGTTATCGCATGAGGTTGCAAGTTTAGCAGAATTGAATTCTTTGTCTCTGAATTTGTTGTCTTCTTGCCAAATGAGTATTTTGAAAATTTGTCTTTAGGATAAATTGTTTGAATTAGACTGTTTGATTTCTAGTTTATGGCTTTCATATGTATGTTATTATTTCATATGTATGTTTTGTTTGTTGAGGAATTGATGTTTCATTCTCTCTCTCTCTCTCACACACAAAGATGTACACACACACACACACACGTGTGTGTATATATACACACACACTTGGGCAAGGGCCTAAAAACATTGTACATTCTAATACATTGATTTAATACTAATAATTTATTTATAAAAAAAAAAAAAAAATTGACTCCTAAGGCACGTATCTAATAAATAGTATAAAAAATAGTATTTATTTATAAACCTAACTATTTGGGCACGTGTCTAATAAATTGTACTTCCTAATACTTTTATTTAATAAAAAAAATTAAAAAAAAAGTGGAAAAGTAACACAAAGAAAAGAGAAAGAGAAGATTCAATCAAATTCTTTTGATGGCATAAAGAAAAGCTTCTCTCTTTTAATTTTTTTGGAATAAAAATGGAACATTTAATTAAATTAATTATTGAGAGGCTATATATAAATATTTCATTTAATTAAAACCCAAAATAAATTAATAATCTTGCTTTAGGAAGACAAGAAGGGTCTGTCCACCTTTAATTAGAGTTCTTAATTTTAACAAAAAGGGTAACCTCACTGTCTCGAGATGATGGCACTCAATTTAAGTAATTAAAAGCTCAATTTATCTACTGAATTTAAATAATTAAAGTTCAATTATTTTGATTTATTGTCAACATTGTAAAGGATGATTGATCTTCTTTTAGTAGACATAACTTTTGATCAAGTTACAAAAGCTTCCTAGGGGTTTTTTGTGAGCTTCAAGCCAGGTATAAAGACCCTTCATACATGCCCACGAAACTAAAAGCTCAAGTCATCAGCCATCATGCAACTATATTTGCAGGAGTTAACGACTTTTTCCCACCCTAATATTTGGTTTAATGACACTTTTTCATCAACATACTTTTAAAATATCACTTTATTATCCAAATTTATATTCCGATAGCAAACAAAGAGCAAACCCAGTTCGCTGTTAGAGCTTTTAAAGATGTGAGGTTGATAAGTCTTTTGGTGGTGGAATGTTGAATTTTAGTGATTGGGGATTGATTAGAATTTGACCTGGGAAGGGCGATTACATAAACCCTAATCTCTCAATTGTCGACAATTAGCGAGGTCGGCAAAAGTAGGGTTTAAGGGGTTTTAATAACTAATGATTGGGGAATAAAATGATAGTAGTGTGGAATCGCAACGATGCCGAAATCAGATACGAAATATAAAATTCTGTAGGTGGGTGTGGGAAAAAGTCTGTTTACTCTATTTTCAGTGGTCGGGGGCCAAAGTGTAATATTTAATGCACGAGAGAGACCAAATGGTAAAAATAGCTTTTAATAAGATGAAATTGTAATTTTCATATATAAAGTCTCGGCTGGCCCTGGGTCTTGGGGCGGTCCACCATTGTTTATTGGCCGAACGACTTACGCATACCCAAGGTTTGCCGAAATAACAAGTTGGTACCCAAAAGGTTTTGAAACGACAAATAGGTACCTTCCGTCATGTTCTGTTAGTGATTTTCGTTTTATAATAATGAAAAGACTAAAATGCCCTTGAAAGTTTGATATTTTAGTTTTTTATAAATTTAAAAATTTCTAAAAAACCCCCTAGGTTTGCTAATTTGACTAAATACCCCAATATATAAAAATTTTATAAAATAACAAAAACACCCCCGCCACCCGCAGTGCCAGATTCCGGCCACCACCCTCGGAATCTGGCCAAAAAATTGTGTTACGACA